GTCGAACGGCAGAGGACGACCGGCGGCTAGGATGCAATCGGGCGGCGATCGAGGGACGACTGGGGAAGACGAAGAAGAAAGAAGAAGAAGAAGAAACAAAAAGAAGAAGAAGGAAGAAGAAGAAGGACGAAGAAGAAGAATCGAAGAAGGAGAAATAAGATAAGGTTTGTGTGGTTTAGGTTTATTTAATGGTCCCATTCCAAAAAGGATTGGGCTTCGGACCCAAAATACCTGATTAAATGGTCATAACTTGAGTTCCATAACTCCGATTCGCGAGCCGTCTGAACCGACGCGATCACAAAAATATTTCCTACGATATGACATAAAAGTTGGGCTTAAAATCCAAATTATAATTTTAACCCCTTATTGGGCCCAATTCGTAATCAATTGCTCTAACAATTTAATTAATTCTTTTGGGCCAGATTTCGGGGCGTTACATTTCTCCCCCCCTTAAAAAGAATTTCGTCCTCGAAATTACCTGAGTGCGCATAGATTCTTCGGTCTCCCAGGTTGCTTCTTCCACCGCATGATTACGCAATAGTACCTTTACCAAAGGTACCGTCTTATTTCTTAGTACTTTAGTTTCGCGCGCCAAGATCTTAACTGGCTCTTCTTCGTAAGACAAACTCTCGTCGAGGGTTACAGCAATGGTCGGCAACACATGAGTCGGATCTGAACGGTATCTACGTAGCATGGAGACATGAAAGACGTCGTGAATCATGTTCAGCTCTGGTGGCAACTCTAGCTTGTAAGCAACAGGTCTTATTCGCTCCAGAATGCGGTAGGGTCCAATGAATCTAGGGTTAAGCTTCCCTTTCTTCCCGAACCGTAGGACCTTCTTCCAAGGTGAAACCTTCAAGAATACCATGTCACCAACATTGTACTCTATGTCTCGTATCTTCAAGTCTGCATATGATTTCTGTCTGTCCGAAGCAGTGCGGAGTCGGTCTCGGATCACACGAACCTTCTCCTCAGTTTCCTGCACAATATCTGGTCCCCCGAGCTTACGCTCGCTAAGCTCTGTCCAACAAATCGGGGTTCGGCACTTTCTGCCGTAGAGTGCCTCATACGGAGCCATCTGAATACTCGCCTGGTAACTGTTATTATATGCAAACTCCATCAACGGAAAGTAACGCTCCCAATCTTCTCCAAAGTCGATCACACAAGCTCGCATCATATCCTCTACAATCTGTATCACCCTCTCAGACTGGCCATCGGTCTGAGGGTGAAATGTCGTACTAAGGTTCAAAGCTGTGCCAAAAGCCTTCTGAAGTCCTCTCCAGAACTTCGAAGTGAACCGGGGATCTCTATCAGATATGATTGACAGTGGTGCACCGTGCAACCAAACTATCTCTCTAACGTATAAGTCTGCCAATTTGTCCAAGGAAGAGTCACGTCTGACGGGTAGAAAATGAGCGGACTTCGTCAACCTGTCAACAATGACCCAGATGGGGTCATTCTTTCGTGAAGATCGTGGCAATCCTATCACAAAGTCCATAGTGATCCTTTCCCACTTCCATTCCGGAATGGTAGGAGGGTGCAGCAACCCTGTCGGAACCTGGTGCTCAGCCTTGACTTGCTGACAAGTCAAACAGCGCGCAGTGAACTCGGAGATTTCCTTTTTCATAGCCGGCCACCAATAGGATTTCTTCAAATCCTGATACATCTTGTTACTACCTGGGTGCATAGTGTAAACGGTTCCGTGAGCCTCACGCAACAAGCGATCCCTCACTCCACCGCGGGGCACCACTAGGCGTTCACGATAGTACAAGACTCCGTCATCACAAATTGCAAACTCGGGCCTCTTTCCTGCAGGAACTAACTCTCGAGTCTTCTGACAAAACTCATCATCTCTCTGTGCTGTACGGATCTCCTGCTCTAACGGAGACTGAAGCTGTAGCTCGGTTAACGATTTTCTGCTCAAAGCATCGGCCACGATGTTAGCCTTGCCCGGATGATACTCAATGACTAAATCGTAATCCTTGATCAGCTCCAACCATCGGCGTTGTCTAAGATTCAGTTCCTTCTGGGTGAGTAGGTACCTCAAACTCTTGTGATCGGTGAAGATGTGAATCCTCTCTCCAAAGATGTAGTGGCGCCAAATCTTCAAGGCGAACACCACGGCTGCCAACTCTAAATCATGTGTCGGGTAGTTCTCTTCGTGAGTCTTCAACTGTCTCGATGTGTAGGCCACTACCTTACTCAACTACATCAGTACATAACCTAAGCCGCTATGAGATGCGTCACTATAGATGGTATACTCGATGCCAGGAGTAGGTTGAATCAAGACTGGTGCCTGGGTCAGGCACTCCTTCAGTTGATCAAAACTGCGCTGGCACGCTTCTGTCCACTCAAATTTGATGCCCTTACACAGTAGCTTGTTCAATGGAGTAGCGGTCGAGGCGAAGCCCTTAACAAATCGACGATAGTAACCGGCTAACCCAAGGAAGCTCCTCACCTCACGAACATTCCGCGGAGTCTTCCAGTCCACTATGGCTGAAATCTTGCTGGGTCTACCTGGATACCGGTGGTAGAGATAACATGTCCTAAGAATGTCACCTCACTCAACCAGAATTCACACTTAGACAATTATGCATACAGCTTGTGTTCTCTCAACACACTCAAAACCAATTGCAAATGTTTAGCATGCTCCTCCTGAGTCCGTGAATAAACCAAGATGTCATCGATGAACACTACTACGAACTAGTCCAAGTATGGTCGGAACACACTGTTCATAAGCTCCATGAACACTGCCGGGGCATTAGTCAATCCGAAAGGCATGACTGAGAACTCATAATGCCCATAGCGTGTTCTAAAAGCAGTCTTCAGAATGTCTTCTCTCTTAACGGAAATCTGATGGTATCCAGAACGCAGATCAATCTTTGAGAATACTGTAGCTCCTCTGAGCTGGTCAAACAGGTCGTCGATGCGAGGCAATGGATAACGATTCTTCACTGTGGCTTTGTTCAACTGTCTGTAGTCGATGCAAAGTCTCATGGATCCATCTTTCTTTCGAACAAATAACACCGGTGCTCCCCATGGGGAAACGCTAGGTCGGATGAATCCCTTTTCCAGTAGCTCTTGCAACTGAGCCTTCAACTCCTTCATCTCGGCAGGTGCTATACGATACGGTGTAGCAGATATGGGTTCCGTACCCGGAATGAGATTGATCGAGAACTCTACCTCTCTCGGCGGAGGCAAACCAGGTAGGTCTTCGGGAAAGACATCGGGGAAGTCGCAAACCGTACGAATGTCCTGCTGACGTGGC